CACGATACATTTTTACGAACACCTCGTGCTGTAATTATTTGTTACAAGGTAATATTGTTCGTAAGATGTTCAACTTAAAGGGCGCCGATTTCTAATCCTGGATTACCTCCCATACAACGAATCTCCACGAGTTGCTTCTCTTGCATTATCAAGTCAAGCCAAATGACAAAGCTTTTCCACGTTTGCACCGAAATCACCATACGGAAACGCATAATTCATTTTCAGTCCAGTAAGGCTGTTAACTCCACCAAACAATGTACCAAGTAATTTGTAAGCGCAGTCGGCAAGAGTCTTAATACCACCAAAATGCACGAAGTAAACCAACGCTTTTATAAACCCAATCAACAACAGTTATAATTCCACCATAACATGCCAAATTATTTGTACACTCAATCAGTCTGGGTCATAATTTCACTACAATTATTAAAATTATATGTAAAACCCAACCGGTACGGGTCTTAATGGCACTCAATGTGCCAAGTTATTTGTAAACAGTCATCTTCTTAACGTGAGCTAAGGGTGGATATTTCTTCATCAGCCAAGGTGAGTTTTGGACACTCATATAAAATGAATGGAAAAGACAAAGGGATACACACATCCATGCAGACAAACCAAACGTTACATGCCCCTATGTACTTATTCAATTTGAGTCGAGCATTCAATAAATTGAAATAAAATGCAATTTGAAGAAAAAAAAAGTGTTCTCACTTGCAATGAGCTGTCGTACACCAGATATATGAGAGAGAGAGAGAGAGAGAGAGAGAGAGAGAGAGAGAGAGAGAGAGAGAGAGAGAGAGAGAGAGAGATTATTATCACTGATACGATAGTCAATTTAAGTTTAATAATACTGCAAAATTGAAAGTTAAATCATTCCCAGTTTTGACAAATGATTTGGACGATGTCTTCCTGACTTGCTGAGTTTCTGACGATTTTCAACAAGCCGATAATATTTGAATCCCTCATGTCCACATTAATTCAAGGTGTCTGAGCACATAGGCAAAGTTTCATACCAATAAAACCTTATAAATTAATAATCTTTCTGATTAACGTTCGCAATTGGTAACATTTAGTTAATATGCATGTCAAACTGCTAAAAGTTAATTCTTGGTCTTATCATTTGAAAACACATAATCAAGAAATTAAGCAACAGAACATTATCTCTGAAATAAATTATCGTCCGAGAAACTATTTACGACTACAGGCGTTAGTTTTACAACAAGTTGAGTTCGATGCCCGACGTTGTTATTGCCCATGTGTCTTCGTTTTCTATGCAGTGGTTCGATTACAACGGTCTCCCTACGAGTACCATCGTAACCTAGAGTTGATATGCAATGGACTGACGTCCAAATTATGAGGAAACCATGCACCCTTTATGCCATAAAAGCGGCATTATGCTCAGTGTATTGAACCATTCTTTGGCTGCGACATTTATAATATTAACATTCTATAACCATTCAAAGGTATGATCTTAATGTAACCGGGTCTGCAAAGACATTCAGTTATTTTCAAAATGATTTTTTAAAATAATATTATTCATTTTGTAAGAATAATTTTGTAAATTCAGTAACGGCTAAAAACGTTTAAGCAAAATAAATGACGTTTGTTATTAGGCCGAGCAATACGACTTTAGATGTTTATACACCAAATACAAGCACATAAATTAAAGCCGTCAAATACCTGGGGGGGGGTGTTTTGTGGGGGGGGGTGTTTTTTTTTTTTTTTGCTTTTTTTTTGTTTGTTTTTTTTTTTTGTGCATAAAACCTCGTATACTGGACTTGTTTAATTAGTATTCTCGGTATTAATCACCCCAAAATATGCAACATGTTTTAAGCAACTAAACTGTACAGTTCTGTAAATTTTAAAGCCAGTACGAAACTAAATTTTGCAATCAAATGCATCATTTAACAGCAGACACGTTTAAACTCAGAAGTCGTTTCTTAAAAATATTCCTTCAAACTTTATGAGCTTTCATTGTAAGTAAGATTGTAAGTAAAAGTTTACAATGATCAGTGAAAAGGTATTTCTAAGTTTATGGTTAAAAAGGAACTCTTTTGACCATAATGCATTATTTAAAAAATAGGAACTTGTATATACATGTGGTCAATTAATACAGAAATTATTTGCTTGGTTTTTAAGTATATATATTTTTTATGCGAGGCTCAAGTCCCCAATATTCTCAATCTAACAATTTTTCTGAAAATGTCTATGCATTTGATCTCATCCATTTAAGAATACACTTCAATAGCTACGGTAACCCCATTCGTGCAATCCAACAATGTATTTTTCATTTATAAAGAGTGATATTATTTTGTGACCTTGATCATACACGTGATGCCTTCAACAACTTTCAGTATATAAAGTAGCCAATCGCTCCATCGAGATATGTCAACATCACAACAACATTTACGAAAAACCAACGAATAACTGCTACAAGAATTTGACTGAATGCTGTCTCGCAGTTTTCCGTGTTATGGAGATGCACATTTTTAACATTTGTTTGAACAACAACAACAACAACAACAACAACAACAACAACAACAACAAAATGTTAACAGTGTATTGATGTTGCCGCCAAGACAACCTTAGCTTTACCGCATCTCACATTTGTCTCCGATAAACAAACCGAGCCAGAACGAAATGTGCATTAAATATATATATATATATATATATATATATATATATATATATATATATATATATATATATATATATATATATATATATATATATATATATATATATATATATATATATATATATATATATATATATATATATATATAATCCACATGTTTAGACGAACGTAATTTATAGCGTACATCATTTGAAGAGCTGATCTGAGATAGTCATCTTATGAACAGAGCAAGAAATGTATAACACTCACTTATAAACTATGGAGACGAATAATCCTGTTAATTCCACGAGGAAACTATTTTATTTTTAATGCTAATATCTATTTTAGTATATATTCAAATTTGGTTTTGAAAGCTACATGAACTTTGACTTCATTTTGTTTTCATTCCAAAACCAGCTTATATGCACATGGCTAGGTTACAGAGTAAAATCTGTTCATTTATTAATGTGCTCACACACGTGTGTGTGTGTGTGTGTGTGTGTGTGTGTGTGTGTGTGTGTGTGTTTAGGCCTATACAATTATCATATTGCTCGTAATGTCAATGGACGACAATTAATTAACGACAAGGAGATATAAACACGTAGATATGAATTTAGTATGAAATAAATAAAACTAAAATAAAAAGGAATATGCGAATTAAGACCCATACAAGGGAATGGAACATTTACCAGAGTAAGGTAAGGAGGAAAATGTAGAAATCATAGGCGTGTAATGTTGAGAAACCAATACTTGCTGCGATAAAAAGTTATGGATGCGTAGAAGCTTAAATATCACAATGACTATATTATTTTATGCTGCAGTAAATGCTGGCAATTACAGTAGAGTGTGGCGATTTGACATTTCCCAGATGTCAAGGGTTAATGTTCATTCAAATGGAAATAACTGTCACCAAGCAAACTATTTAAATGAGAAAAAAGTGCTCAACAAAAAAATATATGCTTTGGCGGTACTCAATGCCTGTTCTCTCTCTCTCTCTCTCTCTCTCTCTCTCTCTCTCTCTCTCTCTCTCTCTCTCTCTCTCTCTCTCTCTCTCTCTCTCTCTCTCTCTCTCTCTCTCTCTCACACACACACACACACACACACACACCTCTGCAATCTACTACACGCATAAGGTTTGTATCATGTTAATTACATTTCAAAAGTTTCACAGTTAAGGTAATCTGTCATGAAATCTATATCAGAAAAAAAAACTGAATGAGAAATATTCACAATAAAAATGTACCAACAAGCGGTTTGCCTCATTTTTTAAAATTTGAACAAACGTTTAGTTTCCGCCTGAAAAACTGCTCGAGAACAAGAGTTCATAGGAGATACTGTGATAGCCTTCGTCTGTACGTCCGCCCATCCGTTATTCCATGACTCCTCCGAAACCGCTGGATGTAATTTATCATTCACCCACGGCATATAGATTACTCACATGGTAACCATCTTCAAGAAATTTGGGTCCCTCTTCTGAAGTCCCCGAGAGGGGTAAAAATATAAAAATATACACCAAACTGCAATTAAAGACACCAATTTTAAAATAGTATTTTATCTACGCTATATGCATATGTTCACAGCAGGGTGACCCCAAAAATGTAACGGATTAAGAATCATAGTCCATAAGTTGCGGACGTGAGAATGGTGGTTGAATTTAATACCAATGGCAGTGAAAATTTACATGGAAAGATATTTTAAAAAAGTAGCATTAGTTATTTCTTAACCTTATTTCTTCTACTTGTATGTCCATATTGATTCCAGCACTAAAACACATTGAGAACATTTCAGATTTTTTAAATAAAATAAACATGTTTCAAAAACCTTCCAATTCAATAAGCAAGCTAATTTATTGTAAGACAAAAAATCGATAATAATTGATTCATCCGTGCTTACTATGTTGAACATCAGTTGAAAATGTAACGATTAAACATAAATATTATCTGTTGAAATCCTGAGAAGCAGAATCCGCGAAAAGGCGAAGGAAGTTATGGAAATGGATGTACATTTCAAAAGTAAAGATGCAGTGGCAATGAAAACGTTTAGCAAATCTTTCCTATACAACCGTAATGCGCCAAACACAATACTTTCTTCGTGTGTGTGTGTGTGTGTGTGTGTGTGTGTGTGTGTGTGTGTGTGTGTGTGTGTGTGTGTGTGATTTGCATTTTTAACGTAGCTTTAACAATTTTTCAGTCTTATCGCTACGATCTCGGTAGTGTGGCCGTTGATACTGATGACTAGCACTGAGGAATCATGCCACACACATGTAGCATCATGTCCCACCCACTCACAGTATCATGACACCAGGCCGACCAGTCCTAATACTAACCTCTTAGTGCTGAGAGCCAACAGAGGCAGCTGCTAGTACTATTTTTATAAGTCTTTGGTATGATTCAAATGGGGTTTTAACTCACGACCTCCCTCATCCGAGGCAGACGCTCTAACCAGTAAGGCCACCGGAGCAATCATACTGGTCTGTAGAAGAGATGAGAGATTAGATATAGAGATTTATGTTTCAGAGCCGGCCTCAGTGTTAAAAATAGGTCCAGAACGTGCTATTAGATTTAATAATGTGCCAGTTTGTATGTGTTCTTGCCCATTATTTATATTATATGCTCGAACATTGTACGGGATCATTTGTAAAGATGAAATGTACTGAATATCTCTTCACGTTTATCTCATTACGTTTATCATCTCTCTCTCTCTCTCTCTCTCTCTCTCTCTCTCTCTCTCTCTCTCTCTCTCTCTCTCTCTCTCTCTCTCTCTCTCTCTATATATATATATATATATATATATATATATATATATATATATATATATATATATATATATACACACACACACACACACAGAGACTACATCTCATACCAGTGTCCACTCCGAGAACAATGCATTTTTGTCGAGTGCAACTGCTTACACGTTGTGAGGGTATGTCAAACAATTAAGAAGCTTTCCGAATGCATATAAATCATAACGTTCCAGCAAGAATCTGGTTTATGCAATAAACATGGACCTTACACTTCAAGTGTTTTGCTTTTGTAACTTTTATCTGGATTTGTTTTTAAATATACATCGGAAAAAAATGTTTATATTCTTACCTTTTATCTCGTAGAAGTACATGCTCACTTTTATTCTGAAGAGTTTATATTACCACCGATTTTAGATATTTTACAATTTTACACTTTTACAACAAATATTTTTAGTGACACTGCATTGCCAATATTGTGCCGATTTACATTTCATCTCCACACACGCATACAATGTCTATCTGTCTGTAATATGGGGCTGATATTTGGGTTGAAATACGTCATTACTGGAGATCAAAACGAGTTAATTTATTACATACTTTATCTCTCCCCGCAAAATGTCAAATCATCTTCACTCATCCTTAAGTAATTGGAAAATCGCGATATTTTAGGTTCAGTAGTAAATATTTTTGACGTAAGGAGAGCGTAAAGCCTGAGTACTTTTCTGACAGCTTTTTCTTGGACTCGCCACAGACAGATATAACTGCATTACAGTTTATGAAGTTATTTGTGGTAAAGAAATCCGTACTAGGTCATATTTATTACCGCCTTTTTTATGTCTTAGGTCTTCGACAAATCGATAAATTGCCAAGAACATGAAAGAACTCAAACTAATACGTTTACCCTTTATCGGCTTTTCTCAGTCCACTAAATGAAATTTCATATTAACGCCTGTATTTAATCTTTAGATCTACGGCATACCTTTTAGAATCCCCTAACTGAAATTGCAATTTCGGCATTCTGGGTACTGATAATATCAACATACGATCTACGCTATGCCTGATTCGTGTAGGGTAAAACATGTGGTTTACTCGGCTCTTATCCTTCATCCGGCCTTATAACTGTCCAATTTCGTCATAAAATTTCTCATAGAAGATTTTAGAAAGTCTTGGAAATACAATGCAAACATGTTATTGGTTGTTTTAAAACGCAAATAGCAGACTAGAAGGATGTTTTACCATAAAAGACAAAGATCTAAAAGGATAAAAACCGAGTCAGTCACGTACTAGATAGAGTCAGATTGTGGTGTTTAGGGGTGAATGCCAGTGATGATATCATGTCGAAATTATCAATTGAAATTTTGTGTTGATGCTTTTTTTTTTGTAAGTTCAACAGCGTTTCACTAAGAGTAAGTCACTGTGACTTATGTTTTACCTTCAATGAGTGTGGTGAAATGGTGCGAGTAAATAAGTTTCCACTGCACAAACTGGCTGCAGTGTCATGCGCATTTATACGCTAAATGTGTGTTGGTGTTACCAACAATGTAATATTAAAAATGGTCACTGTGAACTAATGTCGCGCTCGAAAAATTTTGGTTTCGTTTTTGTTCAGAAGTCGGTTAATGTCTCAACGCAAGCCACGGACGAAAATCTGCTTCGCGTCTTAGTCACCTTTGTCCGAGTTCATCATTATACAAAACCTGCTTAGTTTGTCACACTGCGACCCAACATGACCTTTCACGCTGTTTCAACTAGTACAGTCACTTGTCGACCGATAAAGCGAGTGTTTTCATTGTCATGTAGGAGATTATTACATTTTGTTTTACTTTATCTCTATAATGACGACAACGGGTGATAGGCCTAAAGAAGCATCCATTATATTATTACTTCTCTGATATGATCACTTCGAGCTTTTCATTTAACTAATAATGTTTATTTTGTTCCAGAACAATATATCCTGTCTCCACCAAGGGATTATTGTCAGACGTTTGTGACAAGTGCATCGGGTGGGGGATGTTTTCGAGACTGACGGACAAAGTCACGGGAAGCAATTATTCACAGTTTAGGTGGGTGACTGGTTATAGCTTTTAGATTTGGAAGTAAAGTTTTTATTTGCATCGATAAACTTAAATTCTACAGCGTAAAGATGGTCAGTTTCTTATATTCTGTGTGGAAAGAAGTTATACTGCGTGTCTTTGGATAGGCGTTATATTTCTAATCAGATATACTAGTGTACAAAGCTTATCCTTCAGGATGATAAATCCTGATGGTTGATGTCATCGTCTCTTGGTGAACAGTTATTATTTTTTTTCGGAGTAATATTGCAAAAGACACATGAAAGGGATATATCTTTAGTTATTACATTTATCACATAATAGGAAAGGCACGGAGTCATCAAAGGTCAGAGATCAAGGTCACAGTTGCTAAATCCGAAGTGACAAGTCATAATTATATTTGTTGTGCATCTGAAACTTTTCAAACCATGCAAGAATACAGAATACGTCGCTAAAGGGATACAGATGAAGATTATTTGGTTTCTTTAATTGCATTTCCTTTTACAATGTTGTTATCTTAATTTTTTTATTCGCAAAGTCAATAATAATGACAACTGACTTTTCTTCAAATCCTCCTTATTAAAAAAAATATTTTAATGTATTCATCAGCTGATCATGTAATAAATTTTATCTTCGTCAAAAATGAGTGAAATCAAATTTAGTGTATTATAGAAGAGCATACAAAAAGGTTAAATAATTATATCACGCTCATAACCTTATTGGCTTCGAATCAGTCATCATATTGGATAGACCAATTTTGATAAGAACACGTGACATAAATCAAATCGAAAAATATTTTGCATTTTAAATTTCACGCCTTTTAAAGACATTTAGATGAAGAAAAATCGAGATTTGGCATGCATGTATGTTACATACGCTTTGGAGTTTTGTCTGTAATGTTCATATGACTGTTTCGTAGGTTTTGTTCTACGCACTCTGATAAACGCAGGGGTAAACAATGTACTATTTTAATTTCGATGTAAATCCCCTGAATTTCAGTAATTTTCTAATTACAATCTAGAATACTATTTACAAACATACATAAGTACAGTTAACCACAGTAAATACTTTATGATTCAAGTGACCATTGTTTCTTAAACATTCGTCTTAGACCTGTTTCTGTATAATTCAGTCGTACACTGTTGAACTGCTTTCAGCAATAGTTTTCGTTTGAAGTTTTGCAACACATTAAACAAAGATCTAAAACATATGAGTAATCGCTGGGAGGAGGGAAGTGAATTGTTATGTATTAATGTTACGAAGGCTTGTCAGAGGCCGAAATTGAAACACAGAAGCAACAAACAAGCTGGAAAATATGCCACCCCAACCCACCCCCAACAAATCTACGCCCCTCAAATATCATAAATGAACACCACCATAACCTAAATAAGCATATGAAATACAATTGTTATGATCTCATCCCTTCACTCGTCAGGAAAATATCACGCTGATATGATTATATTTTTGTCTGGTTCTGCCAAAACCTAGGCGATAAAATGCTGTTAACACTGCATGATAGCTTCACCTCTCGGTAATATGGCCTTATTAATATGTACCTTGACTGCGCGCCATAATTTAGAATTCTCCCGATGCGCCCGCCTGCATTTTGTAACAAACGTCGCCTGGAAGTAAACAAACCCTGGTGGTTTTGTGTTTACTGGTTAGAGTGCTGGACTCACTCTGACCACATACCAGTATAGGATAATGTGGTATGTTCATGGACATGTCACTTTACTCCTTAGCACTAAATTACATGTTTGATACTAAACCAAACAGCAATTAATAGATGATACAAAATTAGTATTCTGTACCCCGAGTTTATGGTGGAACCAATGTCTTAATCATATGTTGCAATGGATGGCATTTAAAAACACATTACAATAAATACCTAGCTAGTTTTTAAACCTCTCCAGTAAATACTAGCTAATTTCAAACACTTCATTCACCCCCACTTCCAGTCCACACTGAGACTAGATGGAAATGGAATGAACGGAAATCCTCAGTGAACGCAGTTGATACTGAATGCTCGTGCGTGCTTGTAAAAATACGAAACGTTAAAGTTAGCTAGCATATTCTCTATCCGTTCTTTGAAAATATGTAACACAAAATATAACATTTATAAAATAAACTAATAAAACAAAACTTTTGTTTGCAAGAGGTTGCGATGGCCAATTTGGCCATTTTTTCGGAGGGGGAGGTAATATTCCCACGTGACTGGCGGTTGGTCGCTCTGGTGCATCTCTGAACAAGGCACACCACCAACGATTGACAGCCCTGGTGTGTCCGGGAACCATGAGAAAGGCAATACACTTGCGGTAGACCATCCTGATGTGTCCCTGAAAAAAAAAAGAAAAAAAAAAGCACTACACTTGCGGCTGACCATCTTGGAGGATCCCAGAGAAAGGCATTCTTCTGGCGCTAGGTCGCACAGGTGTGTCAATGCACAAGTCAGTATACTGTCGGTTAACCACCTTGGCGAGTCCCGGAGAAGCATACTACATTAGCGGCTGGTCGCTTTGGCGAGTCGCTGGGAAAGGTACTATACCCTAGCAGGGCTGTAGATAGTACTAATATTAGTACCTTACGATATCGTAGCTAGGCTGTAGAGAGCGATCACAGGCCTTGGGGTAAGAAACACCTGAGCCTCCTAGTTTTTATTCAAATAAA